GCGGCGCGTGCGGGCGCGCACCCCGGCGCAAGGGCCAGGGCCGGGGCCGAGCGAGCGCGGGAAGGGGCGCGCGCCGCCCGCCGCGCCGCACTTGTCCAACGTGGAGAACCCAAATACCAGTTTCAAACACTTGGGAAACATTCGGCCCCCCGCACCGCGCATGCGCCCCGCCCCCCCCACCGCCCCCTCCCCGCGGGCCCCGCCCCCGCGGCATCACGCCCCTCACCGGCCCGGCAGTGCGGGGGTGTGGCTTTGTCTGTCACTTTGGCTGGGGAGGGGGTCGCGGGGACAGGGTCGGCGGGCGAAGCGCAAACTTTACTAAGAGTTTTGCACTGGAAGCAGAGCCTGTCGGGCGGCAATGCAGAACCGTCGGGGAATGTGGGGAGCAGTTGGCCCCGCCGAAGAGCCGGTCGGAACCGACTGAGTTGTAGGACGGCTACCGCCGAGGCCATCGCTCGCCCAGGGTGTCACCTCCCACCCACACCCGGCCCCTCGTTCCGGTAACCCGCCGCGGAGCGGGGCATAAATAAGGCCCGAAACAGACTGGCAACACCGAAACCCAATCCACTTGCCGCCCTCACCTCAGTGGGCCAATCAAGACGAAGGAGAGGCGGGGCGAGTAGGGATAACTCCTCCCAGGCTCCGACTACGAGAAAGCCGCGTCCTACGAGGGGCGGAGAGAGAGGGCGGGCCGTGCAGGGCGGAAGTGATGGCGCATGCGCAATTGCCGGGAGGGAGGAGACCTACCATTAGGCGGCCGGACCACCGCTCCCAGCAACCTTAGCGGCTCGCGCGCCTGCGCGATCTTCACCGTCTTCCCTTTGTGTCGACGGCCGGAGTCCGGTGCAGAGCGGCTTGGAGACAAAGGGGCCCAAGAGGGGAGCTGCTTTCCGGACTGGGCTCCCACAGAGGGCGGGGGATCCCGACCCCTTCCCGACTGTGCCCTAGGATCCGCTCCCATTAGAAAGACCACCCAAAGCGGGGCGGGACAAACGTCCGGTCCCGGGGGTCCGGGGCCCTCTCCCCGTACCGTCTCGGCCCCTCCCCCCCCCCCCCCCCCCCCCCCCCCCCCGGCCTCTCTCCCCACCCTAAGCTCCCGAATTCGGGCTTTCTGAAAAGCCCTGCGCAGACGATCCCGTTGCCTAGGCGACGGGCCCGCGTGCCAGCCCGCGGCTTCCGGCTGAGGCCCCGCCCTGTGGGCGTGGTCGCGCTCCGCCTTTGTCCGGAGGGCACGGGCCTGCTCCGCTGGGCAGCCTCCCGCGCTGGGCAGCCTCCCGCGCTGGGCAGCCTCCCGCGCTGGGCAGCCTCCCGCGCTGGGCAGCCTCCCGCGCTGGCCTCGGCGCGTCGCTGTGCTGTGCTGCTCAGGGTCTTCCTTCCCCCAGGTGGGCGGGGTATCCTGTCGCGGTCTCTGCGGGCGGAGCTGGCTCCGCTCGGCCTGCCGGGTTCGCCCCGGCGGAGCGGGTGCTCTAGGGCCTCGGCGTGCTCCTCCGCAGACCGCGAGCCCGGCGCTCGCTTGCTCCAGGAGGCGTGCTGTCAAGACCCAGGCCGTTGGCAATTTTTTTAAAGTTACTGTATGTTAGCGGCGCCTGGCCGGCTCACTCGGTGGTGCCTATCGGGGTGTGAGGTCCAGCCCCACCTTGAGTGTAGAGATGACTTAAAATCTTTAAATAAAAAATACATAAATAGAAATAAAAGTACTGTATGTAAGCCAGTAGTACTTCCGTCAACCCAGTGTAGATAAAATAGATTGTTATCCGCGGGTGGCGCATTTTCAGATAGGGATGCCGGTAGAGCCGAGGACCCTGACTTGAGCTGTTTTGTCTTTGAAATGGATGGTCCTCATCTGCGGAGATAAACGACCACTGATATTAACACTTTGAAGTAAATAGATTGATCTTCACTATTAAACCCCTTCATCCCTTCCCCATAGCGAAAGAACTTTAACTTTGATATTGGGAGAATGGTTATTTTAATGACTGAGCCACCCAGGCGCCCCTGGGAGAATGGTTATTTTACTTACGGATTCGCACTTCTCCCAGTCTTGGCCTGGTTTAAAGCAGATGATGAATGAAATTTCATTTAATTTTGTACAACAAAATTCGTTGGCCACTAGTCTGCATGAGAGGCTTGAATACCATGACATGTGGCAACGGAGACGTTATATGGAATAGAGAATAACGAAGTTAAATAAGAAAAATAATTCTTTTTCTCTGAGACCATATAAATAATTTTAAAGTACCATGGCAAGAAAGAAATAAGTTCTTTGAATCCTTGCATTTATTGGCCCTAGAATGAGTAGTGTTTGTCTGAATTTAAGAATAAAGGTTAGAAATAACTTACCCCTTCCAACGATAATCAAGCCAGCTTGAACTAGGTTATCTTTTTTAAAAATCACGATGCTATCTGAATAATGATTCCTTTCATGTTTTCATGGACTCCACAGACACAGAAACAAAAGGTTATCTTAATCATCGAACAAGAAATATTTCATGAGTGCCTACCAGGTGCTAGCTACTGTTTATGCACTGGGGATGAGGAGCTTACATTCTATAAGACAGTTTACCTTGTGGGCTAAAAGGTCAGAAGATATTTTATTTACTAGCTTTACAAAGTTATTAAAATACATATCGATGACTTCACAGTTTTCTGAACAAGATAAGAGACTAAGAGCTAAAACCTAACTATGACCATGCATTTTAAATATACTACTAAGGAAACATGTTTAATTTTGAAGATACATTGAATTACCTTGGTTGTTTTGGTTCTGCTCTTTGGAGTGTGTTGGAAAAATGGATACTAAATTTTTTTCTGAATTATATTTCTAGTTTAACTGGTGATGCTCCAACCCATGGGAGTAAAAAATAAGAGGTGAACGTAAAATTTTTGTGTTTTGAGGTGCTTAAAAAATAAATGCTAACATGTTTCTCTCAAACTTGAAATACCTTAAGCGGTATGCTACCTTATCTACTCTACTTTGAATTTGCAAGATTTGGCCTTGGAAGAAAATGTATTACTGAGAACTACCTTTTTGGTTGTTGTCATTAAGGACTAGGAAATGGCATTCAAGATACTTTGGAATCATTAATTTTAATACACTTCTTTGTTCTGGCCTAGATTGGGGAGGAGTCACTTCAAAGTCACAGGATTCTCTTTTGGGGAGTATATTTGTTAATAAATGTTCCCAGTCATTTTTACTTTACCTTAATATTCAACCTGCAAAAAGGACTCATTTTTAATCACCATTAAGTAGAGGGTTATGTTTATCATTGGTTTGATGATTTCAGAAAGACTTAAGTAAAGGTAGAATTGCTGCCAATAAGGACTGAACACCTTACACAACTGGTTTTCTGAAGACAGAAGATACCATTGTTAATTTAAAAGTCATGAATTTCTATGGCCAATTCCAACATACCACCTGTCCAGATTCATGTGCAGGATTTGGTCTTCAGTGTTACTAAGTCTGTTTTCAAGACTTTTAGCTTTTTTGGGGTGCCTG